GTTATTATATATAATAGTTTAATATCTAATCATAGTAAAAAAAAAGTATATATTATGTTTATTCCTTAGCTTAAGAATAATTATGAAATGCATAATAATAGTACAATGTATGCCTGACTAGACGTGTAGTACAGTACAGTACATACACGTCATTTTGAATTGCAGATACAATATTTTCAATACCAATGGCGTAAAATTACCTCCTGCTTGGTACAGATCTGTAATTTATTTTTAACTTTATAATGACATCCATATTTCTCCACCCATTGCTGTTGACGGGTAATCATTTGCCCTTGCAGGGAGAGCAAAATGTGATGGAAGTAGTATGTTGACATTCAGCATTGTTCTTTTCATGATTCTCTTCTCTTGTTTTTTCATAAAACTCCCGAAGTCCTTGAAGTCTGACAGGTGATGGAGACCTATATCCGGTCAAGAAGTCAAAATATCAAAGTTCAAGTAGTCCGAATACGAATAGACGGTCCACTGGGGAGAAACTCCAGTCGGTTTCCCTGACAAGCTGGCAACCATCTAAAGAGGATGAATAGTCACCGAGCCCCTAAGGCCTCCAGAAACACATAACGCAACGACCCTGTTTTATGCGGAATGAGGGTGTCACGCTCAAGCAAACAAAATCTGTCCACTCGCTTAAAAGCCTCGGCATTATTGGCTAGCCACGTTTTTAACTTTAAAATCTTAAAAGAACTAAATCAAATCCAAACCTGGAGCCTGGGAGGATTGCGGATTGGACTAGAATTGGGGACGAGGCAAGCAGCCCTGAGCTGAAAACTTTGTTGTCTCCTTCAAATAACAATTACAAAGCATACAGAAAATAAAAATAGTCACCAGGTGTAATCGCTATTGAGAAAGGACGCGATAATCGATGAATCTTAAACAGGGCAACCTCATATTGGAGTCATGAAACGACCCATGGTCGACCCAAAGATGAAACAGTTGAGAGGAATATTCCATTCAGTTCCCTTCAGGCCAAATACTTCTGACATATAGTTTGCTCGTCATTATTCAATCCCGGAACTCAACAATTCTGGGTATGAAACGAGGTGGAAATGACGAATCAAAAACCGGGTGCCGCAGAAATCATTCAGGGATTCGCTATAAGGCTTACGATCCCGGCCATGTCCTTGGCTCGGTTCTATTCGGGGTTTGCTTACAACAATACAGTATGATAATGTTGGTACGAGTACGGAGTATATCCAGAAACCTACCAAAAATGCGGATCTGTGACGCGGCTGGGTCTAAAGTTAAATTAAACTCATCGATGGATGGATTGCGTGCTGTTCACATACATGGGCTTTTGTGGCATGTGGATGAGTGTACGTATAACTTATTATTAGAAATCTATGGATTGTGTTCCTATGACTTGTTTGTGACAATAAACATATGTCCATGCACTGTATCATCCGCACCCCCTGGCAAAGAGGGAGGGAAACCTGTCCATTTTAAGTCCACTTTGAAGAGCGCACCAGATCCATGCAGTTATGGTTTTCAATGGATGAGGCGAGTTGATGATGTATGTGATGTACGGATATCAGGGTACATACGTGGATCCTGTATACATGGCTGTACAGCAATGTACAACGGAGGCTTGCCTGAGTGAAACCTCTTCCTTTTTCATTAGTTCCACGACAAGAATGGCTTGTCAGGATCTTGAAGTTTGCATGAATTCTCTACACCCGGCTTTTTATCTCTCAACTTCTCAAAGCGGGCTTCTCCCCCTGATTAGTGAGCCTCTGAGCCTATTTGTTTCCAACTACCCTGTCGTTAACCCCTACTGTCTAGGGCAATACAACTCGGGTCTCCAGATTAGGGTTCCATGGATGGTCTTGGCCCAAGCTTATTCATTTCAAAGGCCCACCTATGATAAGCTCTGCGATTTCCCGATTCGGGAAGCGGAAATGTCAGACAGGGGCCGTAAATAAGCAAGCGGGTGGCCAAAAGTTTATCTCATCACACTTGCACCCTGGCCTGGAGCTTGAGGAGAGATACAACAGCAAGACTTTGAAATGGATTGCTGATTTATCTCCTTTATATAAAAGACGACCGGTGCCACTTTATGGGTGGGTCTTTTGAAGGCGGGTGAAACAATATGGGATAATTAATGGGCACCCTTTTCCTTAAAGAAGGGTGCCTTTTCTTAGTCATCATTGAAGTATAGTATGACAAGGTGTTCCGCATGGTAAAAGAGTCAATAACCCCACTACCCAGAAAGTGTCTAATCCGGAGCCG